TGATCAATCTCCATCAAGGGCTAGTTATGGTTCATATGGTGACGAGTCGAGGATTGATTCGGAATTGCGGTTGTTGGGATATTGTTGGGGAGGAAAGATGATGAAGAGAGTGGTGGTGAAGGGGAAAAATAAGGAAGAGAGTAATGGCGGCGGCGGCGAATTTACGCCAAGAAAGTAAACGGTTCTATTGATAGAAAGGTTGCAAAGAAGGGTAAAAAGCAAAATTCTTCAACAAAGTTAAGTCCTACGGCCAAATCTTCTAAAGAGAGACCTTCAATTGATAAAAGGAATGAGAGGAATATAACGAAACCAACTAATGCTTTCTCCATGAAGAAGCAAAGACAGAAGGTGTTGGAGGATCCGAAGAAGCAAAGACAGAATGTGCGAAAAATAAATGAATCAGTTTGACAAAATAAATTAAAAGTTAAAATTTGTCAAAAACCTTCAGACAATCAGATGCGTGCTGTCCAGCAAATTTTCAAAAAAAAAAAATTGAATTATTTGGAGTTGGCTCGCGAGCCGGCTCGAACTCGGCTTGAAAACCGGCTTGAATAGTATCAAAACCTTTTATGAGCCGAGCCGAGTCATATAATATATGGCTCGGCTCGGCTCGAATATTCTCTCTTTCACGAGCCGACCTTGTTAAGCCGAAAACTTGGCTTGGCTCGGCTCATTAACACCCTTATACATATATAACATAATATTCAAAAGTCACATATAGGGGTGAAACTGCAATTTTCTGAACATGTTTTAGAAACTGATAGTTTAACCCAGATTGAAAATTATTTCAACATCACATGATCTTAGTATATAACCGATACAAATCATAAGCAAATATCACTTTTAAAAGTCAAAACTCATATAACACGTTATAATGATAACTAAACCCAAGAGCAAAAATAATAATAATAATAATAATAATAATATAAGAATATTTCATATAAGGATAAATCATGCCAACATATAAGATTTCATGGGAAATAGGGGGGTAAAATGCAAGTTTTTAGAACACACTTTCAAAACTGACGAAAAGCACCCCATTTTCCCTTTTTACCGAGAAGATTATTCACCACATCATATATATATAAAACCTCACATGCATAACTCAATACACCATCCAAATAATCAGATTTGTAAGTTTCCAATTTAATTTTCCAGTCAAGCCAAAAAGTTTATATATATATATATATAATCCCAGCCACCTTTACCTGCATAATTTGGCCAAAAATGCAGTCCAGAACCATGTAATTCCAGCCTCCAATTCATGTTTTTATTCAACAAAAAATGCAACCCATAAACGCATATAAAACCAGCCACCACTACATGTATAATTTCGGCCGACATAAAATTCAAGAACACATGGAATCCAAGCCATCATTGCGTGCATCATATAACACATAACCAAAGAAATCTCATTCAAACAATAAAATGGAAAACACGACTTACACATGCAGACATGAACTTAAGCATTTGGATGCAATGTATCTCCATGCATGTAAAATCCTTCATATCTTAGAAACAGAACTCAACAATTAACACATGCACGCTTGGAAATATTGAGAAAAATGTTTGATTTTTGCCACTCACTCTTCTAATCCTATAATTGAATGCCTATTACAGTGCTTGGATTTCGATCTCCACCGTTCAGAATGTAGAGTTGTGTTTCATGAACAACATATCCAAAAATCAGAATGATCGGACGGCAAACGAGCTCCAGATCACTATTTGATGATGCACTGTTCACAGACTCCAAAACTAATATGTCCTCTCCCTCTCCCTTTCTTTTTCTTTTTGTTTTTCTTCTCTTCCTCTCTCACTCTATCTCTCGGCCGAACCCACTCTTTCTTCTCTTCTCCTCTTTCTTTTTATTTTTCTCCCTCTTGATACATGCAAACCCATCAGAATTTACTTCTTTGTTTTTACCCCTTAACGCAACTTTAAAAACTGACAAAAATACCCCTTTCTTACAACAAATGCCAAAAACCAATTAGAAAGATAATTAATAAACTAAATTAGGAAATGGGGTTTTACAATTTTACTGATGATGCTTTTGATGAAGTTCTTGATGATCACTTTGATTTTCTATTTAAGCATCTGCGATTTGACAACTAGTTTAAGAATGCCAAACCCTCTAGTGTTACACATTTGAAACTAGTTGTAACTAGGATTATTTCTTAGAATTAATACAAACGAGAGAAGTTTGTTTATTCTTTCTCTGATTCATTCACATTTGAAACATGGAAATATATATATATATCAGTTTAAATTATCATATAATACTATTAACTTGTTAACAATAGTCGTTTACTTATTATTATTATTATTTTTTAATGAATAGTAATTATATTAATAATAACCGTTAGAACATAAGAAATAATGGTTTCTTAAAGTCATCCCAGGTAAGTCGTAACCTTAAGTTGAAATGGGTAGTTGGTTTCAGGACATGATTGATCGGCTGATCAAGCAGTAAATGTTGAAAAAAAAAAGAAATTCCTCAATCAGCTGTTGATGATCTTAACTTGTAAAAAAAAAAAAAAAAAAAAGTAAAATTCAAATCCCTAATTAGCTGCAAGTACCATGGATGAATGCCAGATAGAGTCTAAAGAAATCAAACCAACAAACAAACGTACGTAACATCGTCAATATCAATGTGTGAACCCCTATGCCATTGCACGGAGTAGAACTCTTTGGATTTTGACTAACTATAAATGTTGAAGTTGGGTTGAAATAGACAGCTGATGATGAATCATCAGAGGTGGTTGAGTTGAGGTCGTTGCCTTAATTAAGGTGAAATGGCTCAATAAAATACTAGAAAAAAATTCTTGTTTTATGTAGAAGTGATACTTTATTTAATCTGTTACTTTTCAAAGGAAAACTTTTCAGAAGGACTCTACATATAATATATGCATGGACGCATGGTTGAATCCATCTACTAATAAGTTGTAATTTTCAGTATTTCTTAATTTTAAATATTATATTTACTTCATAACCACTCAGTCAACGCGAAAGTAAATACTTAAAACATTTACGAAATAAAAGTCGCCAACTCAAAAGTCAAAACTTATAGACTATAGAGGCGCCATGCATGGACGTGCCAGTGGGTTTCAATCTTTCAATAAATCTCAACATTAAGCTTGCCATTAGTACGAACTCACCAGCATTATCATCATCTGAAGAGACGACAGCCTTTTCAACGTAAAAAGGATGAGAATTTGATACCATCTCGAGTCGAAAGGATTTAGCAATTTCCTTGACGCGATAATCCAGCAAGTTAAAAGACTCGGGCAACATCTCGGAAGAGTTTTTTATACGAAGTTTAAACAGGGGATCCATGACTTGGATTTTGCCAGAGTTTGACTCTTCTACTTTGACCAACCAAGTTTCGGTGGATTTTTTCAGGGGTTGAATGGNGGGCCCCAAAGTAACTCTTGCCTAGGGTCACAAATGTTTTTTTTTCCTCCTTTCTCTCCTCTCTTCTTCTCCTCCTTCTCTCTCTCGTTTTCTTCTTCTTCACTGGGGCGAACTGCCCAGTCTTCTTCTTCTTTTAAACAAAACATTTTTCTGAAATTATTCTACCCCCCAATATTCTCTAAATTTCAATCTAACCCCGCCACCTAAGCTTTTCGTAGCAAAAACCTCCAGATTTTGTGCCCTGGCTACGTACAAACCCAACCGTTTCTATTTCTTACAATTTCACTCCCAATAAAACTTTTAAAAACTAATAGAAATCCCCTTCCATAAAAATAAAATCACAAGGAATATGTAATATATATTAAGATTAAAAAAAGGGGGTTTCACAGAAAAATTAATAATAGCACCATATTGATTTGATAATCTTAAGATTTAAGTAAATATCTGTTGACGCCCGAATTTGGCTGGTCATGAGATGATGTTTGGTCCGAGAGTTGAGTTTTTTCCCTTTAAAGCTGGAACCTGCAAATAAGTAAAGAAACATCAACAAGAGCCAACCATGGTGTTTGCTGGAATGACTCTTCTCAATGTTTTAGTCAACAAAATTAAATAAAATATTCACTACCTTTGTGGAAAGGTTAAGAACGGATAGAAAAGTCAAATATTTTTAATTTTGTCTTCAACATATTTTGGGTCAGCCTTACTATATGTCATTTTCCCTTTTATATGACCACGTTTCTGTTGGGATCATTGAGGTCGATTTTACTGGGATAGCAACAAGTGTCTCCTTCCATTTTTTAGAACAAGATCACCAATCTTTCTTCGTTATACATATGCCACGTCTTTCTTAATATGACAACCTTGGAGTTGTTGACACCCTCATTAGGCAACAAGAACTCTTAAATGCAATGGAATGTCATGAAAATGAACACCTAGAAATCACAAACCCTAATGAAATGGACCACAAATCATTCTATACTACAACAAAAATGACCTACAGTAACATGCAAAAAGTGTTAGCGTAAGTAATTCGTAACATTTATAAGGATGCTATGACAGTCCTTGTAACTAAAAAACAGACATTAGAAACACTTTTTACATGTTACTAATCATTTCAGTAACTGTCATAAAATGTTGTTGTTAAGTATATTGTAGCACTTATTCGTAGTTACGAATGATTTTTTGTAATACTGCATAAATGCTATAAATAAGTTTTCTGTAACATTTTTAACGTGTTACAATTTAGTTTTCTGTAACATTATCAAAATACTATAAATAAGTTTTCTGTAACATTCTTAACATGTTACAGTTTAGTTTTCTATAACATCTCAAAATGCTATAAATAAGATTTTTGTAACATTTTTAACCTGTTACAGTTTAGTTTTCTGTAACATTATTAAAATGCTACAAAAGAGTTTTTAATAACATGTTAAAAGTGCAACCAAAGTATCATTCATTGCATTTAATAAATGTTACAAAATTATTTTCCATAACATTTTGAAAGTGTTATCAATGCGTCTATTATAGTATATATAAAATTGTTATAGTTGTTATTTAAATAATACAAATTATAAACAATGATACACTAATTTTCCAAAGAGCATTTCATTGATGGTGAACCTTCATATACGAAAAGTTTGTATATATGCCTAATAAATAGGCACCCAACATCATTTACATCAATAAAATCTAATATGCTTCATATATCATATCACATTTTGTAACATATAAACCTTCATATACAAAAAGCTTTATATATGTCTAACCAGTATGCAGTTATCATTTTTACATTATAATAACTAGATGATTGAAAAATTAACTATGAGTAATAGTTAATACCTTCCAATCATTCAAAAAATTCTAACAACAAAAACCGTCATGCATACCATCTTCCATTCCAAATTGTGCTTTACCAAAAAAATATTCTTGCATTTTCACAACCTACAAAAGTATTTATACAAAAAAATCTTTAATTACCATGTATATTCTCAAAGATGACAACACATATAAATTGTAAATTCAAGAAAAGATTAAGACAAAAACATCCCAAATATTTAATGCAAAAGAAAGAGGAAAAGAACATGTTTAAATCTTCAACTTCACAATCACTAGTTCTAAAAAATGGCACCATGCAAGTTTAACAAACATATTTAATCACTAGTGCAAAAATGCCAACTGCAATTTTACAGTTTGCAAATTGCAGTCTGTAAAATTGCAGACTGCAGTTTGCATACTGTAGTCTGCAAAATGCAGATTGTAGTTTGCAAATATGCCGACTGCAAAGTTGCAGACTGCAGTTTGCAAACTACAGTCTGCAATTTTACAAACTGCAGATTGCACATTGCAGTTTGCACACCATCAAGAATCTTTCTTCACTCAATTAAATAACAAAGAACACATTATTATGTTATAGTGCAAAACCTTTAAAGTTTTACAAAGATAGTAGAGTGACCTACTTAGATATATTTCATGTCAAGCTACACAATTTAAATAAAAATTAAAAACTTCTGAAGATAGGTCAAACTCTATACATAAACTGTGTGTTCGTACAATTAAAACATTGAATACACATATACCTCAGCATGAGAAAATTTAGATACTAAGATAATGGATACCTCACCAGCAACTATACGAATGACATGAAGAGTACAACCTTGCCCAGAATTTCCTGCATCCAATAATTTAAAAGAGCAACAGTAAGTTTCTTAAGTTATACCTCAAACCTCAATAGGAAATAATGAAGCCCAAATCGTATTTGAACTATACAACATATAAACAAAATACACCATTTTACATGGGCAAAGTAATGATAATCAAGAATTCTTAAGTGCACAAGCACGAAATTAGGATCAGACCAATAAGTAGAGAAACTGTGCTTCAAAAGCTAAAGTAATATTCTCAATTGCTAAGGAATTGACTAGATACAAGTAATTCGTGATTTCAGAAGGAAAACTTGTCCCTGTAGATGGATCTCCAAAGACCTTTCCTCAAGGAACACACTCTTTCCATCCCATGTCTCATAATTGAACATCGGTCACTCTCGGATTTTTCTTAAAAATTCTATTCATCATTTTAAGCCATAATTTTAACAGGGCATTCTAGAGACACATAAGTTGTTCCCATAATTTTCTCAAGTCATTCCGGAATCAATAACTTTTTGAAACACAATTTTCTTTCAACTCATTCAAGCATGTCCGGTTTCCAGAATTGGGATTACTGACTTGAAAAATTCATAACAATTCAGCCCTTAATCCAAACCTCATGAAACTCTCCAGAATTAAACTAGACACATATAGGATTCACCAGAATTTAAAATCACTCAATTTGGATAAGAATATAAGAATCAGATCATTTTCCAAAAATACATGTTCTGCAGAAAACGAAAATTCCAGAATTCACAAGGCAACTTCAAAAATCCATATAAAATTCAATCCTTCCGAGTTTTTGAGTGAAATAAATTTTTAAACACTCCTCAAGAAGTTTACAACAGCATATCCGAAATTCAGCTTCACACGAAAACCCAAAACATACAAACAATTTTCGGAATTTTAGATGGTCAGATTTTTGTAGAGTGAACCCTTATATCAAAATCACATCTTTAATCAAATTTTGTTTAAGAAACACGTGTATATCCTACCCACATCAATTTATTGAAATCAATCTCCCTATTTTAGTTTTGTTTTCATGAATTTGTACCAAATCATAGACAAAACAATCCAAAGAGGGTTCTTTAAACCAATTGAATCATAAATCACCAAAAGGGGGAAATATCAAGCTTTACTCACCTCCCATTTGCTCAATCTCCCTTTGCTTTTTCCGATCACCGGAATTTGCTCACTGGTGGCCACTTTTCCAGCTGCTTCCGTTGTTCTCTTCTCTGCTCTCTCTCTATTATCGGTTCCATCTTCCTCTCCCTTCTTTCCTTTCTTCTTCCTCTCCTTCTCTTCTTCTTCTTTCTCTCTTTTCTCTCTTTTCTTTCTCTCCTTTTCCTTCTCTCTTTTCCTCTTTTTTTTTTGGTTCTTCTTCTTCCCCGTTTTTCTTTTAATTGAATGGTCACTGTTCATCAAAATATCTGAAAATTTTCAATTTAGTCCTCACTTATTTTGGCTATTACATTGTACTCTTTAAAACTTTAGGGAGTATGGACCAGCCCCTAGGATGTCTAGAAGTTGCCGAAAAACTAAGAAATTAAAGTCATCAAGAAGATGAATGGTCACAGATGGAGGAAGCTTAATGGTCGTTGGAATCTAAGAAGCTCTTACGTGATGACGGCCAGCCATTAGAGAAGGAAAACGGTCGTCGAAGGTGGAAGTTGGACGTTTTCTGGAAAATGGATGAAGATGAGTGGACGTTTTTGGCTTTGCATAACCTTCCATCTTCCTTTTATACTAGTTGTAAAAACATTTTAGTTTGGTCCCTCCATGAATGAGATGTAACAAAGTAAAGCCCAAACACTAAATTTGACCCCTAAACAATAAAAATGAGACAAAATCAACCTCGTTTCATATTGGCGGGAATAATATTTTGTTTTTCGGTAAATAATTGGGTTTATGGTAACACTTATAAAATGTTACTGTATTTTGATTATATGATAACATTATAAAAAAGTTATTATATTATTATTTTTATTGTAACACTTTAAAAATGCTACTGTAGATATATTTTCCATAATATTTAAGAAAAGGAGTTATCATTGATATAACATGTGCTACAAAAAGTTAAAGTGTTACATATAAAAATTATTATTATAACATTTTAACATCAAGTGTTACCATAGATAGTCTACGGTAATACTTTAAGGAAAAGTGCTACTATCCAGTGTTACCGTAAGCCATTTTTGCTGTAGCTATTTTAAGCCTAAAGAGGAAAATAATCCTATATGTGTTAAAAAAACTTCCTCAACACCTTAGAAATCGCTCAACGGTTGATTTTAGAACTTCTGGTGTATGAACTTATCAAAGGGCTGCACTTGAACCAAACCCCAATATATAAGTATATATTAGTTGTCATGTGTAATGATATTAAAAACTGCAAAATTTTGTCTTCTAATAGTACACCAGAAGATGGTCCGTACCTGAGATAAAATTTATGATATTTTGAACAATTTGACGGTAAGTTATGTATGTTATATATATATTAATTTATTTTTCAAGTAAGGTATATGTATGAGAAGAGACTTGAAGCCCAAATCACATTACTGCTTAAACACTAAGATGCTTTCATACACAAGGCATGGATCGATCTAGTTTTCAAGTTGAATCAAAATGTTGCTGAAAACGTGAATATTGCAGGAGGAATTTATGTGGTTTTGATTATATAACGCGTATACTATCTTTCATCCACCTTTTATTTGTAATCACTCCTCACAGTCAGCCACACATTAAATTCTTGTAAAAATAACGTGTTTGATAGTGATGGCCGGCTCACAGATTGACACTCCATGAAGACTTCATTTTCATCCACATTTTATTTGTAATCAGTCCATCACAGTCAGCCACACATTAAATTCTTGTGCTTATTAACTTTTCTTAAGCAGATACGGTTCTCATAAGAAGATAATTTTCAGTATCTTTTTATTTTCATAAATTTAATTATTAATTAATAATAAAAAGGCAAATACATTATTGCATTACTCCTCACCTTTGCCTATTTCTCGTAGTGATGTTCTGAAAAAAAAAAAATAAAAGGATAATAAAATAAACAAGGATGAGTCACTCACCCGTACTAGAGTGAAGTGTTTATGTCATATTTGAATTTTTTTTTTTTTTTTTTCTCATCTAAGTTTAAAATCACTATGATGAATATGATTGAATATGTGATATATATTATTATAAATATAGAAGAGGAAGAGAAGAGAGAGAGAGAGAGAGAGAACTTGTAATTGATAAGTTATATAATATTGATCGATGTTTATATGTAACGTTGCTCAAGGTTTCTATACTCTCTTTCTCATAATATAATAAACTGTGTTTTTTCTTAAGAAATTTATTCGGTGAGAGCAAGTTAGAACTCTCCCTCTAGAAGGATAAATTTGTTTTCTCTTAAGAATTGTTTTTTTTTTTTTTTTTTTTTTTTTTTAATTTCTTCATGATATAAATTATTGTGATAGTTACTTGTTAGAACGCTTTCAGTCTTTTGTCTAATCTAATTAGTATGTATTCACATGTTTATTTCTTTCTTTTATCTGATGAATTCCTTTTGGCTTCCACTTTCTTTCCCCTATTCATTTGTCTTATTCGTTCCATATTATCTACAAATAGAAAACCTCAAAAGCAAGAATTAGACACAATCAAGCCCTAACCAAGCAATCAGTAATTAGCTCAAGAATGGCATCAAAATCGTCCCAACCTTTCTCAGTGACAAGGCACCCCGGAACTGATCGTTCCGGCCAAGCCGACACCGAATGAAGTAAAGCAACTTTCAACATAGATATCAAGAAGCCATAGGTTTCATGTTCCATTTATATTCTTCTACAGAATATCCTTCATCGGCATGAAAGAAGAGAGCCGTTAAGTAGGTGATAAGAGAAGCACTAAGGTAAGCACTTGTGTTTTATTACCCTTTTGCTGGAAGGGTCAGGGAAGGCTCCAATAGAAATCTTATGGGCCTCGACATGGTGAAGGTGTCTTGTTCGTTGAGGGCTAATCTAATGTCACACGATGATTTTGGCCCTGAAATTAACAACCGACTCGTTTACATGTTGTGAGCTAATGTCGCATATTGTGCCGAGGCTCTGAGGTATCGTTTGGTTGCCCACTGATGTCATCCAAGTAATTTACAGGAATTTTTATTTTTTGTTCCCTTATTTCTAAAATGTTTAATTTATTAGATAAAAAAATACTAATATGTGACTGTAACCACTTTATTATGTAGACGATTTGCAATATACCGTCTGTACCATACTATCATGAGCTTTCCTCTAATTAATAGAGAAATATATTATATTCTTTTAACACAGTATTAGTTTAAAATTTGTAAAAAAAAAAAAAGCTTATAATCAGTTTCGAACATACATATTTTTTTTCTTAATCCGAAAAATATTACTATATCATTTAATGGTTTATTGTAATAAATGTATGTTAATACAAATTTTCAGTTAAAATGCTCAAAGCACATCAAAAGCAGCAACGTATTAAACAGAAAGTTTCAGATTTTAAAATTTTAGGGGGTTAATTGCACACACAAGTGGTTAGTCATAGGGTGAGAGTCTCCGTCTTTTGTGTGCGCTTCGAGATTGATCCGGTAACGGTTACGTCGTCTGTGAATGGTGGGAAGGATTTGCGATATCCTCAACGCATTACGGCTAACGCCGGACCAACTCTGTTGCGGTCATGGGGACGTTAATGCAATTCTTAAAAAAAGCAAAATTCTTAAAAAAGCGATAGGAGCAAAACTTATAAAGAGCAATAGACCAAGACCCCGTGCTGAGGCCATCAACAATGCCTTGGGTTGGAACGGAGCCAAACGAAGGAAAGATGCTGTGTAAGCCAGAACTTTCCTACCAAACCACACGTATAAACATGATCCACAAGGCGCATGAATACCGAACGCTCGAACGCGACAGACCCGGGGGGGTCCAAAAGACAAGACACCCCTGAGAAAAAAGAGAAACCAACAAACCCGCCCTATTTTACTACTTTTATTTTGATTTAACAATGGCTTCACCTGTCTTCTTAGGGGTATTCGTTTGGCCTGATTGCGGAGATCGCTTCTGTGTCTTCGCTAACAACCTTTGCCCCTTCTTGCTCTACTTATCCTCCTCCACACCCGGTTAAAAAAAAACAACTTTCATACGATTCAGTTTATTGTATCTAATGGTTTGTATGTCAAGAGTTCGAACGGCGTCGTGAGTCGTTTTGGGTATTGGCCTTCACAGACCCCCCCAGGACCAGATGTGTTCGTTGGGCTTTCATTCCATTGTTTTTACTAAACGTCCAAAACAAGAGCTATAGTTTTATACTTTCGTCTCGTCGTACTCTACGCCCAAGGGTTACTACTGCGGCAACACATGGTGGCATTCCGTTCCCGTGGCAGCGTGTGCATCATAGGCTGATCTCTGTTGCCATGGAAAGAGGCGTTGGCGATATTCTGTGGGAAGGGTGGTTGGAATGATGCTGAAAGGGCTCAACGTGGAGAGTGGTGAAGGGTAGTGAGGTACAATTGGGGAGGTCCAAAAGGCGGTGGCGGATCTATGGAATCAAGACGACCCGAAGAGTAAGCGAAAATATATGAGAAACGAGCTTTTCAGCCATTATTTGTTTCTGTATGATATTGGAAGAATTGTTATCCGTGAGTTTTTGCAGATTGAATTTTGGGTGTGGGGGACAGGCGTGTATCGAGTGACGTCAAGTGGACTGGCTATATCAGAATGATAGCTTGCTGCATGCATTCAAAAATAAATGTATAGGGGAAAGTCTGGGATTCTGTGCCAATGGGATTCTTGGCTTGCCCAACAAATCAACCATGGAAAAGTGTTCAAGAGAACTGGATAGAAGTTGAGCTCAAGGAACAGTAACTGAGGATTTGCTTATGACATAACCACCGCTCTCATGGTGGGGTATCGCCGAGGGTTGTGAGTATCATATGCGTAGTATGTAGATAATACCTAACATAGAGTGTGGGTCAATCCCTTTCGTGGCGTAATATATCCTGTGTATTTGTTAACATGGCAAAACCTAAAGGATAAAATATAAGTGCTTCGGACATCATCCCGTATAAAATTAATATTTGTATGTAGTTATGAGAGAATTTTCATATAGAGTGTATAGGGGCCGTGATAAATCAGAAATCAGGAAGTTCCAACACTTGTCATGTTGATGTCCATATTTACTAATATAATTATTTTTGTTTATTGAAATAATATTAATATTATAGTTTCAGAACCCTACGTAATTACCGGTGGTAATTACAAAAACTATCATATGATAATTGAAGATAATATTTTTGGCCCTACACCAACCGAAAACGGGCCCTTCCTTTATACCCTATAAACAACT